TCATAAAACAAAGAAGCTCAGTATTCGAAACAATTGTTGAAACATTTTCAACATCCATTACATAGAAAATAATTGTTACATGGCTGCCCTGTCTGAGTATGTTGCCTGATCATGAAACTAAATGAAGAATTTCACTCAGGTATTCACTAAGAGAGAAGTCAACATGCCCCAGGGAGGAGAAAGTTCTGTGTTGGATAATATCAGCATAGAAGTAGGGAAAAATGCTTCAGGTACTTGAAGCACTCAAGATTTATTAGTCCCCATGGCCCAGTGGTATCTTACCATTTGCACTCAAGAAATGAGAGATGTTACTCAGAAGCTATTGACTCAACTCTTTCAGTCACTTAAGATAGAGGTCTTAATTCCTAGGGACTAGAGAATTGCTAATGTAGTACCCATACTTAAAAAGGATGAGAAATTAAAACCAAGTACTTTTGGCTACAGTGACATGTAAGGTAATGGAAATTAATACAAGAGCCAAACTAGGGGATGCCTGTATGGAAATAATATCATTTCAAATAGTGGACTATTTGGACTATGACTTAGAAAAGGGTGGTCTTACCTAACTAGCTTGATAGAGTTCACTGAACATAGTGCATTATGATTTGGAACAAGTAATAGGTTTATTCCATGCTGAAAAGATAAAAGAGAAGGTAGTGTTTGATTGAGAACTGGTTATTAAATAGAAAACAGGTATAGGTAAGGGGCGAATAAGCAAATTGTGGTGATGAAAGTAGTAGAGCACCACAAGGATCTGTACAAGGACCACTGTTCTTGTTTAAATTCTATCAATTATCAAGATCCCAGAATAGTTAGTAAACTAGTCAAGTTTGCAGATGATAACGCATTAGGAGAATTAGCAAACAGTGTAGAAGCAGAAAATGAAGTGCAAAAGCAGTAAAAACTAAGATGGGGGACACTAAACTAAAAGAGGCTGCTTACGAAAAAGACTGTGGTGTTTATGTTGATACTGTACTGTACATCATTTGTATCTTCTATGTAGAAAATAATTAAAATATTATTTAGTTAAAAGGGTAGATTTATGCCAAATAACAGGAATAATGTGCCAACAGCACCCTATAAACAAAGTGCAAATAGGAAAATAGGTAAATATACCTCACATTATAGTATAGTAAAAGTGTTACATTATAGCATCCACATGGGACCAAGCTCCATGAATCTCCATGAAGAAACTCCAAGAGGATAACTAAGAAAGCTTTCACTCACAAATGTTGTCCCAGTAAAACTCCTCATCTGTAATACTCAGATCCCCATTTCAAAAAGTGACAGCTGTCAGTTTAGGTATCAATAAAGCTTCCATCTGAGGAAACGAAGCAACCATTCTCACCATTCTGCCACAGAAATTCAACAGATCACACACTGGGTGTGTAGAAACCTTCATGCTTAGGGACTGCCACAGGTGCTGGAGAAAGGAGACACTGGCAAAAAAAAAAGAAAGAAGAACCAGGAAACCAGTAACCTAGACTACAATCCTGGAATAAGCAAATACCACCGCTAGCAAAAAACATCCACGAGATTAGGATGAAAATACGAATGGTCATTGCATGTCCTCTGGGACCTTTCTTTTTTTTTTTGCTGCTGGGCTATGTTCCTCTGCAAAAGATCTGACTCAATATTTTACTACGGCAATACTGTAATTTCCTTTTAGAAACAGTTGCTCAAAACACACTGACACTGGATTGAAGAGAATGCACCGTAAACTGATTTCCTAATATAGCTCTCCCAGACATTTGGTGTACTGTATTTAATGATCGTAAAAGAGAAACAGTTGTTACGGTCTTTGCCTTCATACTTTGGCCAATCCAGAAGCTTCACCTATTGGTATTATTCCCATGGTCCACCATAATAGCTCACATTAAAAACAGAAGGTTTAATTAAACAATATACTGTTATTTCATTACAGAGGTTCATGTCATAAAGCAGTACTCTGTGTTTCTATTTAAACATAAAGTATGAGAGTACTCAATTTAAATTACTATCTTGTAAAATGGATTTCATACAGTATGTATTGAGAGTTTAAGTGTGGTTCCTGCTTAAACATTCTAGTGAAATGCTTAAATGCTCGTACAGTATGTGTGCATTTATTTCTACCCAGCTGTGACATATTCACATTATGCCACCAATGGTCTTGAAAGAGACAGGTCACATTTTTCCGCTGCAGTAGCCATAATTACATACAGTGAGTCACAAAGAGCCAGTGGGCAATTTTATCCGTAGTAATATTTTATCCAGAACTACCCAGACTAATGATCTTAAACTATCCTAGGGGACAAATTCTTATTTTTTTAAATGTATTTGAACTTTTAAAAGAAATGTGCTTACCTTTTCTTGGGGTGTCTGGATTGAGTGCCGCAGGCAAGAATTACAATGATTCAGTTATGAATGATTTCTTTAATGTATATTGTAATTTGCATTTTGTGGTTTATCCAATAACTGAAAAAAGACTGAATTAAGGAAATTTGGAAAAAAAAACTTTTTAATTCTATGCCCATAACAGTTTAAAATGATGAAGATCTCCTGTGTAATGAGCTGCTGGCACAGAACAAGATGCTTTATATAAACAAAGCATGTAATTCTCTCCCACATTTTTTCTAATTTCTGTTACTGAGTTCACGGATAGTAGGTAGTGTAGGGTCAAGTTTTTAAATGTAATTATATCAATATGACTTGAATCACAATGTATTTTACAGTCACAGCAAAGCCCCTGACTGATATACTGTAACTTTTAATCACGAAATGATGAATGATCCAGGGTTTGTTTGTTTGTTTGTTTGTTTGTTTGTTTGTTTGTTTGTTTGTTTGTTTGTTTGTTTGTTTGTTTGTTTAAGATTAACAATAAACTGGCTGAAAATATTTTTTAAAATCATTGGTTAAAATCATCTATAGTATGTAATGTTTAGATAATTACAATGTAATGTACATATCTTCAAAGCAATTTCCCCCACATGCTTATTAGTTAAATATAATCCAGTATGCTGGCAACTTGCAAGTGGATTACATTTTCAAAATACTTTTTCATATCACTGGTTAGGAATTTAAAACAGACCTACAGATTTAAATATCAACTGCATTCAGTTTTGAAGGTTTCCAAACAAGCTACAGTGTCATAAAATATTAAAAGCCATGTGGCAGTAACATATTTTAACAGTAATAGTTTACAGTTACAGTCCAGTACAGACCATGCATTGACAAGAGAAGAAAAGGACAGTAGTGTTATCGTGATTGTGTTGTTATAAGAATGGTACATTATAGGTCTGTACAGCAGGGTACCATAAGACAGACTACAATAGATCCCCACCATTGTCAGTGATCTCCTCCCTCCTGAAAAGATTTGTGTTCAAGGGACTGCAATCCACGTAAAAGGCAATGCAGGTCCAACCACAGAGAAAACAGCTTTCTTTCAAAGGGACCTGCCTATAGTATCTGTGTGCTGGGGAAGCTTTGAAATAAACACGATGAACTTGTCACAGCCTCCAGAAGAGTGTTGTCCATTTATTTTGTGTCCATATAACAATTAAGTCTCATTGGATCAGATTAGGAAACCACTTATAGATCACTTTGTTCAGGAAGCTAAACAGATAATCACTTTCAGGTCTCTGTGGTAATTCCACAATACCTATTGTTTTGTCCTAAATAATCTTCCAATGTGTTATCTTCTGTTCTACCTTTCTTGCATGTTTAAACAGTATTTGTTTTATACCCATCACTCAAAAACCAGTTTAATGACCAACTATTCACACATGTTAAATAGTTGTCACCAAAATAATTATGTTCCCTGACCATACAGCAATCCAGAATATTAGCACAGCCATTTCAGATTTTGCCAGCTGTGTTTGTTGATCCACTGACTGCTGTAGCAGAGCCACCATCATAATCAGTCTAGGAGAAACTCATTCATTCAATTTCTTGTATGCTATAAAAGAAATGAGAGAATGGTCCAATGTTTTTTTTTTATTTCCCTCCCATCTCAGGTAGTTCAGAGATGAAACAATAAAATCAACTGTGGAAGATAACAAAAAAGGTTACAATTTGGTGGGTTGCTGAGAGGAATCATGGTTCTACAGTCTGGTCCTCTAGGATTGGCACAGAATGTTACAAAACGTTAATACTGGAAATAATTAGAACTTTTTCATAACTGGAAATATTCCACTAACATTATTTAATTCTAATGCTTAAGTGTATTGTGATTATTTGCCGCAAGACATATATATTTAATAATAATTTCACAATTAAATCTTATCACTTAAAGAATTAAAAGACAGTGGTCCATGGAAAAATATTTAATGACCACTTGAATAAGGTATATCACGCTTGTCCATAGTACTAACTCCTAAATAATGCCTTACACAGATCACTTTAATAGTGTTACAAATAGGCGTTCCAAAAATAGATAAATACCAGAAAATGACTGAGCAGGTAAATCAATAATTAAAATCATAACCCTCAACGTAGATTTTGCCAAGAATATATCCAAGTGGTTGATATAATAAAGCATCTGAGTTCTTTGTTCTCTGACACATAGAACTCTGGTGAAAATAATAATGTCAGGCACACTGGGATAAACAATTATTTATAAATAATGACAACACACACTAAGAAATCCACAATATAAACAAAAAACATACAAGTTACACTTTTTAAACACTTACAAACAAGACATTCCAGAGGCCTACATCCTGACCAACCATGATATCCCAGGCTGGTACCAAGTATTCAAATCCTCTGTAACACCTACATTACATGCAGTAGGCCAATAAGAGAGATAAATCTCCCTTCCAAACCAATAGAATATGACCTACAGTACAGTTTAATCATCTATAAATCTGGGTGCTACACAGTAAATTCTTAAACCTGTCTAACTATTCTTAAGATATTTAGTCTGAAACTAGTTTTACATATCATTATAAATGGTTGTGAAAGATTAATCAACAGCATGTGTTGTACAATAGATGGTTTCTCAGAAAGTTGTTTGCTTTCAGCTTGGTGGCCTCAAAGGAACCTGATAGTGCCCGAAGCAGAGCAATGCCAATGTCACCTTCAGACTTTCTGGACAAACTTATGGGAAGGACTTCAGGATACGATGCCAGAATCAGACCAAACTTTAAAGGTAATTTAATTTAAAAATGAGGAGAATAACTAAAAATTAAATCCATCCCTGTATTGGATGTACTGTATTTCTCTCCAGTATTTATGTGGTTTTGTTTGGTTTCTACTCTACAGAATCGACAGGAACTGCAATGTTCTCTATCATAAATTGAGGATAATGATGCCCCTATTATCCTCAGTTTATGATTATCCTTGACTGATCAGCAGCTTATAATAGTTGTTTCTGCATTCATTGCATCCTTATAGTGACAATATGCTGGTCTTTGTTCCAAACTCTATTTCTCTCAAGACTTTCTAACTGTAGATCTCTCTTGCCAATCTTCCTACATCAGCCGCCCATCCTCCCCAAGTCCTCCAAATTGCTTTAGCTCAATAACATTTTTCTGCTTCACTTCTCCCATGAAGCCTACCCTCTTCATGGGCTGTCTTTCCCTGCTCATATTCAATTGTCATCCCTGCCGCTCTCTTCATCATCTGCCCCCTCCTGTCTATAATTCATTGCTTGTACTCTTATCCCATCTCATCATCACTACTGATCTGTTGACTGCTCTGCTGATTTTTCTCTTCAATCAATCTACTGTAATGCCTTCTTATTCTCCCCTTTTGCATCTCTGTGGTGGCACAGAAATCCTGGGCATATCAGGACTGGATCCTTTCATGCCAATCCTTTGCCTAAGTCTGCCTTTGTTTGCTGTAATTGCTGAGCTTTGACATTTGCATAGTGTAAAATTAAATGGAATATGTTGAATTGTAACCTTCTGTAATCTTTCCTTTGTATTCATTTCGTATAGACCGGTAATTGCTTTAGGTCTGAAGACTCATCCACAGTAACTGGGAAGAAGAAAGTTGGAGATGCAGGAAGACGAAAACAACATGCATGAACTGAAATCACAAATGTTGATGTAACCACCAGTTGTTCTTAATAATAGCTATTGCAGTGCACGATTCTCTGTCCATGTCTTTGCATTAGTGAGTACGATCTGGAAAGATCCAGTTTCAGCATGAAACTCAACAAAAGGTTTGTCAATGTATTGAACTTAGGAGGATGGAAACATGACTGGATTGATGTTTGTGCCGATGTATTTATTCGTGATCTATATTTCATTGTTGTGAAAATCAGCTGGATAGGTCACCAGCCAGGATGGGACTCAATGCATATAGCAATCCAATTGATGATGACTTAGACATGTTTATGAAAAAGCTATGTTATGGACTGAGTTTAGTGGGAATTGTTCAGGTTCATTCTAATTTGTGTGGCACTTATAATGCTACATAGTTTGACAGCTTCTGTGCTCTACAATTGCTTCACTGTCGCAGATCTTTACAATACATTGACTTACGGAAAAGAAAGTGGAGACAGGCTGTCAGAAAGTACAAAGCATTGTTGTGCAAGCACTCAACAACATTTGAAACACAATGGCAATTGTTTTTAATGTTATGTATTGCTGACAATTTGATTTATGTTGTTTTGTTTTCAGGACCTCCTGTGAATGTAACGTGCAACATATTTATTAACAGCTTTGGTTCAATTGCTGAAACAACAATGGTATGTAATATTAAATTTGATCAATTTATAATTATTCCTATAAATATATTTTCATTTTGGGGCAAACCTAACTTTTTAATTGCTGAAACAATTACGATATATTTTTATTATTTGTTCACTTATACAGTATTTGTCCAATCAAAGTATTACTGTTAACTATAGTATCTTTTTTCCTCTTAAACACCTGCACCACCATTTATGAATAATTCTGTGATTGAACATCACTGCTCAAAATAAGTCAACCTTATGCTGAGACTGAGAGGAACCATTCTGTTAAAAATAACGTTTGTTGGCTGTTACGACAAGTCTCAGTGCAATTCTCTCTGAAGTCATATATTCAAGACAATTCTTAACATTTAATACTGAATTTATATATCCAATGGATCTTTGGTATTGAAGTAGTGATTATAATAAACATTTGTTGCTATGTATCTAAGGTTGCCACAGTAATGTAGTGGTTAGTGCCACTGGCTCCCTGCTCCAGGGTCCTAGGTCAATCACTGAGTTGATGTCCTGTTCTGTATGGAGTTTGCATGTCCACATAGTGTTTTGTGCAGGTTTTTTCCAGGTACCCTAGTTTTCTTTCTCACCGCTGAAGGCAAACAGGTTGGTTAATTATGTGCAATAATTAAGCTTCCATGGGGATGGTAACAGGGCACCTCTGCTAATTAATCTGCTCTATCAGGAGAAACAGCCCTAGTGTATCTCTGCCCTGTGCTTGGATTCAGGAGTCGTTTTCAACAGGGGGAACTAGAAAAAGAAAAATTTCACCTATGTCCCTAGGCGTTGAAATCATGCCCAGTGATTTTGCTTTAAATCTTAATTAGCAGAGGCTACCATTTTAGCACAGATGTACTGCATTCTGCTCTTTACAACAGATGTGTGCAGATGCACCCAGCTCTGTCTGAATTTACAGTGTTCCTTGCCTGCTGTTACACTCCACAGCTTAATGGGAAACAAACACCACCCCAGCTTAATAAAAAACACAAATCTTTTAAAATATCTAAATTTATGAAGTTCTTTCTTCTATCTGGTATTGTATATGTAGAGAAAGGCTTCTGTTGGACAACTGGCAGATTACATACTGTAGTACAAGGGACATACACAAGGGTGAAAGCTTGTATTGTTTACACTCCTCTGTGGTTCAATGCCCCAGCTGTGTTTACTCCCTGAGTGTGCCTGAATGTTCGTATTGTGCAATGTGTAAAATTATCCGATATACAAAACACATTTGAAGAACCGGTAAGTCTGGTGAATGGATGTATTGTAAACTGAGTGAGCTTTCAGCAATAATTTGGATGTGCAATCACAGAAAACATGCACCGTTTTTCTTTTTTAAAGGACATCACTGTTCTTTCTTGCTGTGGAATTCTATTGTGGCAATACGATAGTGCTCTCTCTTGAAGTATGAAGTTTTGTCTTTGCCAGATGGTAAAAAATCCTGTGGGTCTGGGGATTAATTCACAGTTCAGTTTTTCTATTACCAATGTGCCTGTTAGAACTCTGTATAAGATATGCAGTTGATAAACATATGTGTGTCAGTATCTGCCTGTCCATCCATGCAGATACGGTATACATTAAAAACAGGAAATTGCTATTATGAAATAATTCAATTTATATAATAAAATGTATTACTGTATATGAAATAGTTTCATATAATAAAATTATAATAATATAATGAAACTGATATTGTTCCAATATATGTATATATTATCCCTATATACAATATGTATCCAATACACTCCCATCCTATACTGTATTTATCCAATACATTTGTTGTGTTTTAATGCCTCTCAGTGCATTTTAAAGTCAGACACAATTTTGTGATCACTTTTGACTGTCACTTTTTTTGCATTCTTTTCTGCGTATATGTTTTCAAAAACTATTTAAAGGCTGAACCATAAATATTATTTATTTAGCAGTCAATCTTATGCACAGCAACCTACAAGCTTAAAAGTGTACATTTTCTGCAAGTGCAAGGAACATTGATGTTATCCTATTAAGAGATTCTAAATCCAGTTTGTCTTTTCAAGAGGAAAAAAACAACAAAAGAATATTAAGCTGTTATCGACTATTAAATATTACACAGAATTTGACATTGACAGAAGCAATACACTGTAAGGGGGATGATGAATTAAGGCACCCGCAGAGGGTTTCTCCACTTAACGTACCGTTCCATGTGGAAAAAAGACTTACTGTAGCACTTGTTAGTTCCACTGACTCCCAGCTCTAGGGTCCCGGTTCATCTCTGGGTCGAAGCACTTTTCTCATCAATGGGTGACCATGTATATGTACCAAATTATCTCTAGCTAGGATAGCTGGGACAGCTGCTTCTTGCTATCTATAACCTTGCTTTTGATGGTGAAACGGGAGCCGGTCCAGGCTCCCGCGAAGCGTAGTTCAGGACCCTATGCAGACGGTATAATCCGGAAGTAAGTGGAGAAGGACATCAGGGGAGGAGACAAAGAGGATCAGGATGGATTGACAGACAGGGGGGTGTGGCAATGGTGATCCGGGTGCTCGGGGGGCGTGGCGATGGCAAGACAATCCAAAAGGAGGAATCCGGGGTGCCGTCCAAAGTCCAAAACCAGGAAATCCATCCAAGGAAAGACAAATAAAAAAACAGGGACATGGAATAAGGAGATTAAAAATGGAGTGACGAGGCCAGCTCGGTCAGGCGCCGTTAGGAGGCCTGTGCCCTCAAGCTGCGGATGTAGGGCGACTTGCAGCAAGGCAGGCCTCCGGGTGTCCGTCTTCCAATGCAGAGCCAGGAGCAGCGAGAGTGCCAGGCTTAAATAAGGAGGGACAAACAGAGAACAGGTGCACATAATCAAATAAAATACGAAAGGGGCGATGCGCCCTTAACAGGATGGATTCCGATCATGACAGGTGGACATAATGGAGACTAATTCAAAAAACATAACTCTCCAAATCAAGTCTTTTAGATTGGGGAAATCTACTGTATATATTCAGACATCCTGCTGAACCTTTAAGCATGCAGAAAAAGACAGCTCTTTAATTTCAAAATAAGCACCACAAACATCTGTGGAATAGTACATTTGCCCTTACCTGTTCTCATGAGTATTATACCAAATATCAAGCTTCTGTTTGAGCACGTACTCATTCAGTTAAGTCAAAAAGCCAAGCTACCAGGTATTATGATGTTTGTGTCTGCTGTGTTTTGGGTTCTGTAACATTATCTCTATGACAAGGCTCATAAACAGCCTGCATACTCACTGTGGCATGGCCTCACTACATTTCTATAGTAATACAGATGTGTTTATGGATCCTGTAATAAACAATATCATTAATGAAATAAGGCTAAGTCTATACAGCAAATGCTGCACAGTATATAGACTGTTGGAGTCATAACCCATTAGAGATCACTTCACTGTCTCACAGGACGTGACTGAGTACTGTGCATCAAGATAACACTTACAGTCACTTACTGTTATATTTCACACTTCTGTAAGTTATAAATGGTACTGTATTTTTCTTTCCTCTGTTCTAAACAATATTTCACATTAAAAAATGTGCGCTGGACAGTTTGTCACAGCTGTATTCTAACACAGCGTACACTTTCAGGAAGGTACTTTAGAACACACTTAAAAACAAAGAAACAGTGACATTTCTGGGACAGAGAGACAAAGGCATGTTTATAGCTCTTCAGGACTTGAAAGAGCAAACCTCATTTAATTTGATGTATTCGCATATAACTAGCTCATCTATTTGATGAGTACATGACACTGTATTTTTCAAGACTACTGCAAATAATGTGTGGGATTGACAAGTTAAAAAAAGAATCATATTCTTTATCATCGCTAAACATTGTCCACTGAACAACTACATTAGTCACAACCAAGAACTAAAACATCAGCTTAGTAAACAATGTATTTCATCATGTTCTTTATTTTTTAGTACTGCCTCCAAGCAAAATTACTTTCCTAAAATATTTGACAAGGTACATTTCTCTGGGAGAAATATTCTTTGTCAGGTGCAGAACCCTGTCTTCCTCTCAGGCTGCTGCTTGGCCAATACTTTGATACACAGTATAGGAATTCTTTTGAAATCCAGAGTGCCCCAAATCATCATTTAGCCTAGCTGTAATTTTATTATTGCATGTTATTATGTTCTGTTTGGGTGTTGCAGTTACACATTTGTCTAAACGTGTTACAAATGTGTCTAAATTGCAGAGTTGTACTATATTGTGCTAATGTTGTCAGTTGTCCAGCACACCCAACAGTGTCAATTACAGCAAGTGCTATATAACACTGCACCATGAAGTGGCAGAATTGCGTTTTGTACCCTTTGTAAAAAAGTTTTTGTTCAATATAGAACAAGCTCGGGGGATATGAGAAAAACATTTTTTCACTTAATATTTACATGCAGTCAGGTCTGAACTACATGTCTGAGATGAATCAGTATTTGAAAATCCTGTTCAGAGGCAGAGACTAGCATTATGTAATTGTGGTCTTTATGAACTTTACATCCTTTACGTCTTGGATCAATTCCAAGTAACTGCAAACCTTACCGAGAAAATGCCGCTTTCCGATAACAGATGAATGACTATTTGCATGCCAAGTCATCTTTAAAGATGTGCAAAGAGTGCACACTTGACTTTTGAATTTAATGACAATTTGATATTACTGTATCTCCATTTTGTTTTCCTTGGGAATCCGTATGCTTTCTGTGAACATGAACTCTTGAGAATTAAGAAGATCATTTTTACTAAGAATAGTAAAGCTCATGTTTTGCTGATACAGACCATTAAAGTAATCTGAATCTGGTCTCCATTACTGCAAAGCATGTTTACCAAGGTTCATCAAGAGGTCCGATGTGTACAGTATATGCAGTTTTAACAATAACAGCACTGCTTGTATAAATATAAATAATGCCTTCTTGTTTCTCTCCCAGGATTACAGAGTGAATATATTTCTGCGTCAGCAGTGGAATGACCCAAGGCTGGCTTACAGTGAATACCCAGATGACTCACTGGATTTGGACCCATCTATGTTGGACTCTATTTGGAAACCTGATTTATTTTTTGCAAATGAGAAAGGGGCTCACTTCCATGAAGTTACCACAGACAACAAGCTCCTTAGAATATTTAAAAATGGAAATGTCCTTTACTCAATCAGGTGAGCATACCAAATGTCAATGCCCCACACTTGATTTTATATTGTGTACAATGTAAGACGTTGTACAAGTAAATTAATCTTAAATAAGTTATGAATTAAATTGGTACTCTAAAATACGTCTTGACATTTTTATTGAAGACATTTACTTTTTTCGTATATTGACAGTGCAAGTCTAGGAATTATGTTTCATGGAAATAAACAGAAGCAAACTTATTTTGAAAATCATATTGCAGCAAATCAAATAGAAAAAGACTATATTTTCATGGGGAACTAGTGTAAAATCCCAACAAAAGACAATGTCTTTTTAAATTCTAACCTGACTTAGTTAAATGTGTTGTCTTTGACACGGAAATGGAAATTGTCAAAATGTGGTGTTGCAGCTGACAGCACAGGAGACTTGAGATTAACAAGGATCCAGTAAGAACACTTAGCCTCTGGGTAGAATCTCTTCAAAAATGCTTCAATTATAATACTAAATGGACACCTGCAGCTCTCACTTTAAAGTAGGTGCTTGTCTCTTACACTTTCATTCTGAAGTGTCAATACTTTCAAGTGACAGCCCAAAACAGTGACTCTGGTCACTTTGTAAAGAATTTGTATAGTATTCAAACAATCACATGTTCAGTTGCAATCAAGATTCATGTACGGCCTGTCACACTAAGTCAAGCTTCTGATCCCTCTAGCACATCAGAAATAATTGTCCACTCTTTTAGTTATTTTCTCCAGTTATAAGAATTAATGCATACTTTGTGCATAATATACTGTAAATTTGTGAAATAGATTAGTATGGTAGTTTTGTATAGAACATTGTATTATCTGTGGGCACTACAATAAAATAAAGCAAAATCAAGAACATTAGAAACCCATGAATATGCTTTTTAGTACAACAAACTCAACAGAATTTAAACCTGGAGTATTTATAGTTTAAACAGTTAAAACAGCAAGCTCTGTTGTGAGCTGGTAGCCACAGCCTTGGACCAGCAGAACACAAAGCTAAGGTTTAGAGCCTAGCATTGGGAACCAAAAGCAACCAGGTGTCCAAAAAGTACAAATGTCATGTAAATGTATGGAGAGAGAATTCACCAATGTAATCAGGAGCCCACCTGGTCAAGGCTTAAAGGTAGACAGCAGTATTCAAAATTGTTGTAAGTAATCTAAAGGGACCCAATGCAAAGCAGCTAAAATATACAGTGTGTTATTGTTTTCTGTTTGGTCGGTCTTTGGGGGGGAACAGAAACTGTATCAGACAAATGGTACTTTCGAAAAATGCCTGTTTCCAAAATCTTTTTGACTTTGTGGCAATATGTATGGTCCATAATCTGTCTCAGATGAATCTATGGCTCTTGGTTATGTGAGAATGCAATGCAATTGTCAGATTCACATTATTCATTATGTTAATCAGAATTTTATTTCTTGTTTATTGCAGATTGACTTTAACACTTTCTTGCCCTATGGATCTTAAAAACTTTCCAATGGATGTACAAACTTGCATAATGCAATTAGAAAGCTGTAAGTAGTAAATCATTACCATTAATTGCAGTAATTCGTTTTGGATTGATTTCATATTGGTGTAGATTTTTTTTGGCAACACTAAACTATTGCAGTTCTCTGTTCCCTTGCTCTGTTCTGTCTTCTAAAGGCAGAGTTGATTAGATGAGCTGGCACCCAATTTCAGGGTAAAACGTGTCAAAACATTCAGCTGTTTCCACTATGCTGGGGGTTTGTCATCTCATCAGACAACCCCAAACTGCACATCAAAGACAATCCCCTCTGTTTCAATCAATGGGAGTTATACCTATGCCACAACACCACATCCTTTTAATATATGAGAGAATGAACATAACAAGCATACATATCCAAGAAATTTCAGAACACAATTTAGGGCAGCCCAGCATGTAACAATATACAGTATATACAGTCTATATATAAATAAAATATACAAAGCAATTTTTTCATTGACAAAGAAACCGCAGAAATTTTATTTAACATCTTAAAACCCGTCTCAAATCTTTTTAAATATTAAAAATTGCATAGTTCATGGAAATATCAAATTTAAGGGAAGTGTGAAATTATAAACTAGAGCTGTTCTCAGGTTGACTGCGACAACTGGAGACTCATTGACCACATGGAGTCAGTGATGAATTGCTTACACCAGTAGTTTCTGTAAAAACTGGATAAATGTGAGCTGCCATGGGCTCAGATTTCCTGATTCCTAGCATGGCTCAGGTGAGCATTAAGAAGTCTTGGCCAGCCCTGACTTCATTAATTCATGAATGTCAAACATGAGGAACAAGCTAGGGGCAAGCTTACTTTTGTGGTCCATTTATGACACATTTAAACCTTTGGGTGAATCAATTAATTGGCAAGAGAATATATAACAATAAATAATGTAACAAATTAATCAGGACCCAGAAAACTAGTTATATTTGGTAATTTAGCAAAAATCAAGTATTGTGCCGCAAAAAGTGTCTGGAGGATACACTAGATGAAACATTTTAGCTATCAAATGGAGTCAGTTACACAACCAACACATAATGATATAAAAATGGAAAAGACTGTCCCATCCACCACAGCTCATGTCTCAAAAGAAGGAATGGATCAAAACCGCTGAGCTCCCCTTCTGAGCTACTTAACTGAAAAGAATATATACTGTATATGTATATATTATTTTACAATTTACGAGACATTGCATCTCTTGGTAGTTTACATTTCAAATTACTTCCATTGCCTAACATTTAGCAACCCTGACACTGTGAAATGTTAAGCTTCTTTTCTGCATAATTCTTTTACACTTTTACTGCTCCTTTTAAATACTGTACCTGCTCCAACTCCTACAGAGAGAAATCATACCCTGCTGCTAGAAATCTTCTAGAAATGTACTATCATGTTCTTCAGCGCATATAAAACAATATTGCGTAGACTGAATTATCCTTACGGGAAGGATATCTGAAGTTACCCTTGGGTAGATGCAGATGTGTTGGAACTGAAAAAAGAATAAAAATGAGGGAATGAGTCTAATCTCTGGGGCGAAATCAGGAAATTAGACTATAGCAATGGAATTGAAAAACAAAGAATGGAAACTCATATATTGAATTTTATATGCCTTCTTGGATTAACAAGTCATCTTGTTGCCATTTATTGTCAAAAGGTTTATTAAATTGAATCCCGCTGGGTTTCAAGAATACAGTTCAGTCAGAATTTAAAAATTCGCAGGTTTGGAGAACACTGTATAAAACTGAAACAAAATATCAACCTCCTTTTAAGAACACCCTGCTGTCTTTTAATTATGTTAATATATTTTTTCCATACTTTTGTAATCAGTACAAGTGGGGCTACATAATGCTTCTAAATTACTTCAGTCTTCAGTTCTGTTGAATTTCATAATGGTTTGTAAGCTTTCCACTGCAAGATATTGTACAGTAAGTAGCACATTAATTTTGGAGTTTATGAAGGTGTTTATTATTAAGATTGTTTTAAATTATCAGTTTCTACTTTTTTAGAATACAACTTCTTGTTGATATATTACTGACAATTGTGCAATTAAACCTGCAATAAGTGAACAGTATTTTTCTGCATGCACTGGCATTTGTCCTTTGCTGGCATGCTGAGGTCATGAGAATACATATTCCAGATGATCATAAAAATATTAACTACTCTTTCGTTACAGCTGTACATTAACATGTTCGGATGCTTACAGTTAACAATTATTGAGTGGAAATGCTGGTATGAGCGGTGATCCAACTCTCCCTCCTTTTAAGATTAAAGCTGAAAAAGATAATATGGACATTGCTCAATTATATAAGGAAATATAAATTCCTTCCAATTACATTTGCTATAATTTATTTAAGTACTTTTCACACACCACCTCCTTTCCAGTACAGTAACTGCCCTGGGGATACTTGCCTTGTAGTGTTTAATGCTTCAGAAGATAATTTGTCTTTGCTTGTAGACTCTTTTATTACTTTATTGTACACGACAATTGGCAATGCCTGTTTGTGTTTCAATCATGAAATGCAGTCCAAATTAAAGCTGGAGATATAAAAGCGTTGTATTCCTGAAGCATAATGTAAGTTTTCATATAATGAAAACCACAAATGGATTGAAATTGAATTCACTGAAGGAAATTTTATTATGATCATTATTTCTTTAAGAAATGAAGGAAAAGCAGCAAAAACCTATTTCAGCTGGATGCTCTTGATGTTCATAATAGACAGCCAAGTTTTTTTCTGACACAGCTGCTCTCCCTGTGATACAGTGAAAAACATGATTCAGAGAAATCTGATTATTGGACTACAGATCACATGTCATGGAATCTAAAACCTGTTAAAAGTTCCAAGAAGCTAGAAACTTTGCAAATTGGATCACAACCTCTTGCACTCTGTTTCTTGTCTCAACTTGGAAGTGGGTTGAATTGTTCATTGATTTTTTCATTTTCCTTTGCAGTGTCACAAAAAAACACAATACTATATGTACAGTATTGCATAATACTGTATGTAAAGCATACACTGAACAATGAGACTAAACAATGTTTGAAAAGGAATAGGAGAATAAGACTAAACCACAGGGTTTTTACAGCAAAGAAGCAGCAGTGCAACAGACTGCATAATGTGACTGGGGTCAGCTTTGAAGCCAGACTTAAAGATTGCTGCACAATTTGTAAAACACCCATTTTCGTGGACAGAATTGTGTCAGGATGTGAATGTACACATGGATTTGTTTCTGTTTGTCAGTGAGTGTTGGAGTGAAAGAGTTAGTTAAGTTACGAAGTTGAGTTTGAGCATATTTAGAAGACCCAAGGGTAAAAGTAGTACAGTAGTAGTGTCGGGTGGAGAGGGCACTGTCTTGACAAGCCTTTTTTTTTTCCTGTAAAATGTATCAAATTTTACAGGATACATTTCCTTTCTTTTGAGAGGGCCATTTCTGTGTGTTACTGTGAAAAACACATCTACCAGCTATCAGCATTTCCAAAGCAAGACATTCTGTAACAACATACAGTATCAAACATGACTGAACATATACTGTATCTTAATTTTTTTTTCTGAGAGAGGAGATTAACGTTACAGTGAAGGTGTTATCTCAGGTCCAGGTGAGCTTATTTAGCAAAAAAAGGATTAACCCTTGCTGAATTTATCATTTGAGAAAAAATTATCCCCAAAATATAGAGAGAATTCTTGTTCCTTCCTTTATCTGTACTTTTCTCGTGTATTTTAGGTAAGTTGTGACTCATACCGAGAGAGCCGAGATTTCTTTCTGACTTGCATTTAATTAAACTTGAATGTTAGACTTACATGAAGCCCCAGAAAGATATAGAAGCACAGTTTCACTGTTAAAAATACGCAGCATGTGAAGTCAGCCTTTTATACAGTACAGTGTTTGTAAGCTAATACTATTTTGAGTGTTAAAATAAGAGCCATGCAATATTTAAGAATCATTCAAATCAGAGTTTAACAGTGTACTGTGGTATTTCTAGTAAAAATACCATCATTACATGTGATTTAATGGAAATAATGTTCCTCTAAGCCCATGATTACAACAATTTTGTGCGCACTCCCAACACAATCTAGCAAAAAAGCTGACTGAAATTAAAATATAGTTAAGTTGTTTTACAAAATTTCCAGAGACTGTGAAGTTGTGATCGCCAATTTCAACTAAGGGAGCTTTTGAAATGCAAAAAAATATGATTTGTGTTGCATTTACTTTTGAGGAGATTAATCAATTGTCATGTAAACTAAGATTTTGTTCTGATTCTATTTTATATTTTTGTGAGTGGACACATAGTGAGAATGAAGTGTAGGTGTCATTCATACTCACCAATGTCAGAATCCAGGCGAACCTGTAAAAAGACCATGTACAGTAAGATAGTAGGATATATAATAAAGAGAGAAGACTACTATGTTCTTCTCCCCAAATAGCACAGCATCTGAAATATTGCATTCAGTTTTGGCTTTTATTATATGGGAGTTAAAATAATTAATGTTGATGGATACATGTGAAAGACCTGTAAGGTCTTTTGCGATCATTACTGAGAGCTTCTGTTGATAATGGACTCACTTTAAGATTGTATAGCCATATATGAAATGAGATAAAAAAGTGTATTAAAGTATAAAACACTCATTGACCAACACTTCACAACAAAACTCTTCTTAGCAGCCTGTCTAGAAATCACCCAATTAACATTAATAATTCTGTTGTTTGTTGTTGTCGTTCTGTTTAACATCAGAGTATTCTACTGACTATGGTTTAATCTTTCAATATCATTCTATAGTTGGATACACGATGAATGATCTCATTTTTGAATGGCAAGCTAATGGACCTGTGCAGGTTGCTGAAGGACTAACCCTCCCACAGTTTATTCTGAAGGATGAGTCCGATTTACGATATTGTACTAAACATTACAATACAGGTAAGAAAATGTTTGCTTTTTCAATACGCATTCTTGTTTTACTTATTAGTGTGCTTGGTAATATGTATTAAACAAAGTATGAATAGATGCCTGAGGTGGTGTTACTGTGTACAGACTAGGAAACCGGATAGTTTCAGACATATCTTAAAATGAAACCTAGTATAAGTACGATATAGTATATATTCTGGCATATATTCTCCAGAATTAATAAGATTTACTCACTGTGGAACTCTATTTCCTATATTTTCAGTTAAACATACAGTATGTGGACCAGAAATATGGACAAAATAATTAATCAAATTTAACAATGGATCTGGAATTGACCTTTTTACTTAGCTTTTATTTTTTGTGGTTCACTTGATAATTTCATTCATTTTGTGATTTAAGTTCGATCTTTTGTGACCATATTTCACTTAACTACAATTCAAACAAACCTAGTGATTTATCCTTAAATCCTATAGTTACTGTACACATGGTTATTTGAGGAAATGTGGGTCCTGTGATGGACAGGAGGGCTGTGTCTTTTTCTGTTTTAATCATATTCCATGTCTAAAGCCTGGAGAGAAAGAGGAAATGACACGGCATACAGTACAGGGGAAAAAAACAGAAAGGTTAAATAAATAAGCCCATTAAAACAAAAGGGTAACTTAAATCATGACCATGTACAAAGATAGCAAGATCCATAAGTGCCATTTTATGATCGACACAACTGCATAGCATACTGTACATAGATGGTCCCCAGACATTACTAAATGATGTGCAATATGAAAGATTGAATGGAGATGGGATATTCTTTCACCTTTTATTTGCACAGACTGCAGATTGCCGTTTGTGCAGCCCAGTCAAACTCCACTTGTGCCTTTCCCAACCAATCGCAACACGTCCTGGCTTACAGCTAGTGCACAGTTAATCCTGGGTGCTTGAAACATTTTGCAAGCCCTGCTGGGTTTCAGTCAGTTAAACAGACAGGTCTGTTGAAGTCCCAGTATAATGTGAGGAGGGAAGAAACACATGTCAGCTGAAACAAGTGGAAGTTCTTTAAGGAAAAGGGGAAGTTCAGCAAGCTGGTGAACAAGCTGTCCCTGACTGGTGTTCTATCAGTTTCTTTGTCTGTGCCTGAAAGAAATTCAGTCGGATCACTCCGGCCTAAAATCAGTTATCATACTGCACTGTTAATTTTATAGATTTTGATCAAAAGGCTGTGAAGGCCTTGTCTCACTTGGTGTGGCGTCCAGAATATTCCAATGCGGAAATACTTAGCGTTAATAAGGAAAACAATTGCTAAGAATGTCATCAGTCTTTTCAAACTCAGCTTGAACGAATCTTGAGGGATTTATTATAATGAGACTTCTGATGTTGATTTAAATGGATCAATCAATGTGTCTAGCATCAAATTACTCTGCAACACCTTGCTTTAATCTTTTGTTCTATACTAGAAACAGCTTTCTCTTGTGTCACACCTTTGTGTAAGACAGCATCTGGAGGAAAGAATCCACAGAGCATGGGGTTATTTTGTAGAAATAAATATATGCAGTACAAGGTTTCAAAATAAAAGAAACTGCTGCTAGGTATACCCTAGAGGATTAAATTTACACAGACTTATTCCTTGCAAATATGGCTTCACATGCATTTATTTTAGTCTGAAAATATAATTATTTATGTATGTTCCGATGCTTCTCACTAGATTGGTTTGATTTTATAAGCATCTAATGATAACAGAGTGACTAAACCAGAAAGGACTAGCGTAATGCCCTATGGTCTTGCCATGCTTTTTAAATTGACATGTCATTTTAATGAAATTATGGCAAAATACTAAATCATTAAAGCACAGAATATTTTATAGTACAGGTTAGAAAAATATGTTACTTATGAATATCAAAATGTAATGAAACTATGGCATAAATTAATTTTGAAAGTCATTTCTATTTTTAGATGGTGTTTGGAAGTAGGGGAGGGTTATTCTGGGTGAAAACATTGAGAAACAAAGCTTAGATGGTCAGTTACAAGTTTTATTAGAGTAATTTGCAAGGCAGCAGAATCTTGTTGCACTCTGTTAAACACGGGTATTTCCAAATACAAAAATATTTCAGATCTTCTGCAAAAGAAAAAAAACTTGCAGTCACTATAAGAAATGCTGCTAAACTAAAAGATTTTTTAAAAATTTTCATGTGTACAGTATTTTACAGTACAGTATTTTATTCTGTCTGGGAATAAAAACAAGACTTTATCATTACTGTATTACTGTGCTCTGTAATATGAATGTGTCAAAAGAATACTCATTTACTGTAGCTGTAAATATGCATCTTTTACTTGTAATGTGTTCCATACATCAAATTTATTCATATGCACATCCATAATAATAGCTCATAGGTGATTATGCAACTCAGTTGTGACATATGCTGTTTGTAATTTATGTCAAAGTCTGAGTAATAAGAGTGGGGACACATTAGTTATATATTTCCATTGCGTGCTGCTCAAGCTGCCATGGGCCTTCTGCGACGCTGTCATTCATGTAATAAACAGAGTTTGGCTAGTGGACTCCCTTCCAGGTATTCGTGAAAAGGCAATGTACGGATGACTCACGAGCACGAATTTTACATGATAATGAGTCATGTTCCAGTCAATGTAATTGCTGCTGCTACTCTGTTATTATCAGGGCTCTTCATCACACTGATAAATCTTTGTCCCCTTAGCTTTGCAGAAAAGCATGCAGAGCATGGATATACTGTAAGACCTTTCTTTGAATGCTCGGTTTTTCTCAGAACTGTCACTGGCTCTCACAATGCCTCAGCTTGCCTTCTAAATGTGATAAAGCTACAAGCAAGAAACTGACATGAATGTCTCTTCATGTATACCATTATCATATATATTTTTTTTATTTATATATTGTTTTTATTTGTTTTGTGCACTATAGTTAGTTCTCTTTGATTCAATCGGTAAATTAATGTCACGCCTGCTTGTGTTGTAAGCGCCTTACGTTAAACAGGAGGCTTGTAGAAATGTAAAAGGGTTGCTGGGAACCTGTGATTATCAGAGCTCTGTGGAAATAACTACATTTCCATCACTTCAGGTAAAGAAGTATTTCAAACGTGGACACATAGAGACGGTGAGAAAACATATCCAAATAAGAACGGAAAAAAGACACTTGCACGGAAGAAAACACACATCAATTAATTGAAAAAGCTTTGGAAAATAAAGGCATTGTATTAGGAGAAAAACTAAACAAAAATTAAGAAACAGATTTGTCCAGCAAACTTGGATGAAGTTCAACATACCCCAGTCTTGTTATGAGAGAAAGAGAAAACTCACAAGAAGAACCAAGATTTAAAAGACCAACACCTCCTTCTGTGATAATAATCCATTCTAACAGTATGGTGACTGTCACAAATACACATGATGGCTTTAACACTGGTGGGGCTGAAAAGGGTGTCATTATACACCAAGTCACAGCCCGTGTTCCTCTTGGCATTCTAAATATTAAATAAATATTTAATAAATAGATTAAAGAACTAACTTTAACTGACAAGCTACAGTACAGGATGTGTAAATTAAGAGGACATCTCTAATAGCAAAGGAAAAATAACATAAACCTGAGTGTTTAGGCAATATGCAGATATTATGCAAACTATGCAGAGCACAATAACTGTATGAATACTTAATTGGATTCACTTGATACATTATGCAACTTTTAAAAAACAGACACATTAACGATGAGTTTTTCCCTGGAGGTGAAAATGTATATAAAGTAGAGTCTGTATGTTGGTTTGTTCCTTTGGGCATTTGGACACTCCAACGAACCCGAGTGACCATACTTGGCATGGCCTCTTCTAACAGCTAGGGAAAGAGCAAGAGCTAAGTTTGTCCTCAAAGTATGTGACCCATGTAAAATATTTAGACGGTGCACAGTAGTCCCTGCTGCCCTTTCCAAAACTACACGAAATACGAACCAAAGGGAATGAGTGGGAATTATGTGGGAGGACATTTAAAACTAGGAACAGGTCTTCATTCAAATGGCAGTGGAAAATAGGAAAGTAGATCCTTGGATCAATTATTTACCAAATGGGCTAGATGGTCTTAACGGATTCCTCTTGTTCGTAACATCTCTTTTTTTATTTCAAAGGAAGCATGGCAGCCCAGCAGATAACAATGAGAGTTCACAGTGGTATGCCAGAACAGTACAATAGAAGCCTTTAGAATGTTCCACAGTTTTTAATTAACCCAGGGTACTGACCCCAGGCTTGTCCGTTTCATGTGTTTGTGGAGAAAAATGCATTTCTCTCAGGATTTTATTAACTTTGGGTGATGCTCTGTAGTATTGCTAGTACGTACTCAGGGCACCTCTCCTGGATATGGAGAAAAAGAAACAATAAGAATTAAAAAGACACAGAATCTTTAATATTAATAATTCCTTGCACTTAGCACTTTTTTACACACTCTACTTGAGGGCTTTACAGATACTGGGGGCTCCCCTCCACCACCACCAGTTTGTTGCACCCACTTGAATGACGCAATGTCTTCAATCACCAGTTCAAAATTAGACTCAAAAAGGACAAAATACATGAAAGTTTTAATTATACATTTTTCAACATAAATGCATTAAAACAAATGTTAAAAACTGCACACTTTTGATTGTAGTATAGATTTTGCCAAGAAACTGTGTTTTTCAAATTTCCTCAAAAACAGTGGTCCTTAAGAGCTGGTTATTTCTACATATATCCCTAAATATTCTTGATGAAGCAGAGTAAGAATTGTCTTAATGCATGCCAAAAACAATAATTAAATATGTTTAAAAAGATTAAGGCTTTTAACCGAGAGGACAAAAATGCTTATCATATTATTATTTCATATTACATGTTTAAAATAATGCACACTTGAATCTTCTTACTGAAGTGGAGCCTTTTGATGCAACCAGTGATTCATCTTGAAATTTCAGAGCATCTAATGATGTAAAATGAAAGAGAGTTATGTTTTGCTCTTCGAATTCCTGCTCTGATTTTTTATCTTGCTATTCGTATTGCAAAACATCATTTATAGTTAAGAGCAGAGGTAAGTGCACTAAGCCATGCACTTATATCGAAGCATTAACTTTCTAATCTTTTGAATTGCGGTGTTAAGAGGTTGAAGGAAATTAGATTTTAGATTAATGCTTTTCTGTGCATGTTGTTGGTGTGTTAACTGATGGCAGCAGCAAAGGCCTTTTCAGAAGTCAGAAAAACAATCTCTTGGGAAAACTAATCTTGGGAAACATTAAAAGCCTTTCAGGAGGAAACTATTTTCTGTTTGCTTAGGTTTTGTAAAAAAAAAGATGATTTGAACTAGAAGCACTTTTTTGAAAGGTTGCGTGCAAACTAAAAGAAGGATTGTACCTTTCATCATACACAATCCTGTAATTTCTGTAATCACATGTATATACAGACATACATGTTGTATAATTAAGTTCACTATGCTTCATTGTTTTGCATACTGCATAGTGTATGTTGCAAACATTAGATTCTTCAGAACAATTGACAGATCATATTGCCTCTTGTCAAGTTATATTTCAGGTTGAGGGTAGGCATACTGTAGCTCACGCCGTTCATGTGTGAAATCATGCTTGTCTTTGACCCAAGTGTTCGAACAGGAATGGGACTTTTACCTGGGGCTGATGGAATGAACTTTGATCGCAAAAAAGTACCCTTGGCAACATGTTTAAAGAGGAATTTGTCCACAAGCATTGTTGCTTTCTACAGTAATTGTTTCAGCAGTGTTTATTAAATCACAAACCAAAACATGATGCTTACAGTGTGTCACTTCTTTCTTTTGGACATTCAGCTCGTGTTCTGTTAGGAATTTAGTAACATTACAGACTAGAGTTGTGAGTTTGCATAAAAACTTACAGATTTCTGAAGATCAACACAAACCGTCAGAGTGTGTAAGTTGGACATAGGCACCTGCAGCCCTCAATGGTACTGCAGGTTTTTCAGGAAATATTCAGCTAACAGCTGATTTAGACCTAAACACACAGGTGGTGTGTCATCTTAGATAAATAAATTGTTCAATTTAGTGCTTAAAAAAAATAATGACCTTGTCACCCCCAAGGACTGGACATGACCACCCCTGGTGTTAACAATACTAATCTTTAAGTTTTGATTTCACAGTCATCCTTACCACTGATGCAGAAGGTGGCAGTGGATTGTTAAAACTTTCTTTTTATACAGGATGCTGCTGCATTTAAAATATTTAGGCATGTTACATTTGGATCATTCTTTTTGCTCATGCCAGGAAAGTTCACCTGTATAGAAGTGCGCTTTCATCTCGAGAGACAGATGGGATACTACCTGATTCAGATGTACATACCCAGTCTTCTGATCGTCATTCTGTCCTGGGTGTCATTTTGGATCAACATGGATGCAGCCCCAGCTCGAGTAGCTTTAGGTATCACAACTGTGCTGACCATGACAACACAGAGCTCAGGATCACGAACATCCCTGCCAAAGGTATGAAACAATCAATTTAAGGGCGAGTCACTAAAGTGAAAAAAAAATATTCTTCTACTTATTTAAAAGTGTTATGGGCATTTCATGTATATAAAACTGTTATATAATGTTATGTTTGCTTTACAGACAAGTAATTTTGTTGTGATCATGAGATTAATATCCACAATAAATTACATATACATACATTTTGGGGGGTAATTCTACACGTTTTTGATCCCCATTAGTACATCAATACTTTGCATTGGGAGACATTCACTTTAAGTAAATTTCAGGTTAAGAGTCAGTATTTGGTTGCATATTCTTTGTAGGCAATAACTGCTTTAAGTCTGTGACCCATTGAGCTCACAACCATTTTCTTCTGCTTTAGCAGCAAAAAATACTTCTGAATACTTCAGAATTCATTCTGCTTAGTTACAGGATATCATCAATAGTGATGAATGAACCAGTACCCAAGACAGCAGAGCATACTGTACCTACTGTAGGCCTGTCCAGGCTTTGCAGATGGGGTGGTATTATTTGTAGCATCTACAGTGTCTTTCTACCTCCCCATTTTCACTTCTTACTTTGGTGAAGGTTTTTCCTGGTCTCATCTGTTCATAAAACATGCCTCATGTTTGTACTTCAGATTAAATTCTGTAGCATGGTGGAGGTACAGTAATGTGATGGTCTGGGCATGCAAGGCCATTTTTGGAATTAATCTCATGATCACAAATACAAACTGATTGACTGTAAATAACAAAATAACAGTTTGGACATTTGGAGGGCACTGTATGTAATTGTAAATTGTATTGCAAATGTGCAGAAACACATGCAGTACTTGCAGATGTTTGTGGTACTAACTTCTATTTGAATGCACACATGACAAAAATCATACACATAAACAACACATATATATTATATAATACAGATATATTTGTATTTTTTTAGATAGTAATTACTTTGGAGATATAATTAATCATTTAAGTAAGTGAAAGAATGCTAGGATTAGCAAAACACTTTCAATACACTATGATGGAAAAGATTTATGAGATTGACAAGAAATCCAAAGCATTCTGGATCTGACAGTGATTGATGAATGCATTTTTTATTTAGGTGTCTTATGTCAAAGCTATTGACATCTGGATGGCAGTGTGCTTACTCTTCGTATTCTCTGCACTGCTGGAGTATGCAGCAGTCAACTTCGTCTCCCGTCAACATAAGGAACTGTTGAGGTTCCGCCGCAAAAGGAAGAAGAACAAGGTAAAACCTTTGTGGAGAAACACATACTGTGTAATTCAAGACATGGCTCAAACTGACATCACACAGTTTCACTTTAAATAAAATCATCTTCAACCGGGGCCCAAGAGAACCCTCGTCTTCCAGTTTTTCAGGGGATGTAAAAATTAGGATTAATTGTTACTAAGACCTCATTTAGGATATAATTTGCCATTTTTATTGCTAGGTTATAGAAAGCTTTAGCTGCTCTCGAATCAGTCCAGAGAAGAGCAACCAGATACCTTTTAGAGCTTTAGAGAATGTTCTACACTGCCAGGCTCAAGGGACTGACCCTTTTTAGTCTAGAGAAGAGAACACTCTGACAAGACCTGATCCAGGGATTCAAAATCCCCAGAAGCACTGAAAGAGTCACACTGTCACACAGAACCAACTGTCCATGTCTGCCAAAGCCCAGCTTTACTGCTGTTTTGAAAGCTACATCTTTTGACCTGGACATCTGTTAAGATGCTTTAGGTTTTGAAGGTCTCAGTTTCTGACTTTACGTTTATCTGTCCAGAAAATGGTAGCTATTCTCATTTTTGTGACCTCTGTTGCTTTCCTTCTGACTTTTATATTTTATATATTTTTTAAATTATCTGCTTTCATTGACACCTTAAATCATGTATCCTGCTCAATAGAAGAGGGTGTCAATTTCTTAGCTTTTTTCCAATTCTTTGGAAATTGTTCTTGGAAAACATCCTCAGCTGCTTCTATGTGATTTATTGCACAATGCTCAGTATAAATAAGCAGAATGACTTCTTGTCAATTTAATATTAAAAAATACAATAAAAACCTGCCACCTAGTGTGTATAAACAAACATGACATCTTTCTTCCCTGCAGAAAAGGTCTGGATTCTATTCCAATATTTTTGAGTATTCAAAGCAACAGCTACTGTATATAGAGACAAGAAGTCCAGGCACATTGGAGTAGTATGCATTTTTGCATATCTTGTATGATTAATATTGCATGTTGACCTACATGTGAGAAATCCTCAGCTGTGTTCAGAAGAAAGCATTGCTTTTTGAGTTGTTTGAATATGTTGATCATCCTGGAGAATAACAAAAACACAAAAGGCAAAATAAATGTACAAAACATAGCATAATCATCCATACATGAGTTAAAAACAAAAAAATAATTATTTCCCATGAACATTTCTTTGAAATCTAACAAAGAAACAAACACATACCAATTTTGTATGAGTAATTTTTAATATTAACGGTAAATGAAGAAAGCATGGTATTGCAGTGTATGATACATTACACCCAATACATTAAAGAAGAATTACTGTATAAGGATTTAAGGATTAATATCCTCCCCATAGTCACATTGACAGTACAGTTATTCCTCATTTTAGTTTTTAGTCTGCAAACCTTATTATATTTTGTTCATATTTTTAAACCTGGCATTAATTCATGCTCATTTTGTCAAATCGGCAAATTTATTACTATACTGTATGTGCACCTTTTTGAAATGTATACAGAGAGGAGCTGCCAAGTTTGAATACTTGGTAATTTCCCCCTGAATTTACTAAATATTTCTGAATACTGTATCTTTACTAACAGCTGCTTAAATCCCAAACTTCAGAAAGTGCTAGCTAATCTGAATAAGCTTTGTGTGTGTGTGTGTCTGAATAAGCTTTGTTTTTTATGGACTTCATAGAATTATCATGTTTATTTTAACATGCAATGTGTTCGTTTTAATTTGTTTGTTTAAATGTAGCAAATGAGTGTTTGTCCAAAACAAACTCATTCCCCAAGCCCATTCTGAGAACAGTCTCACAGTTTGCTGAATGTTATCATGTGCTAAAGCCCCAATTCAGCTACAGCCGATTACAGTATGTTAATTGATGTTTAGATGATACAAAAGAAGAAATATTTATTGTAGACTGGTAACAGAATTTAATTATTGGTAAACATATAACACAAGTTATCACAAACATAAAGCAATGAGAAAATTAAAACCATATTCTTTCATTCAAGAAGCCTAACTGATTTCACAGGCCACATGCAGATACGTAATTGGATCCAATTCCTACTTTTAAAAAAATCTATGTTAAAAACAACAAATAATGTTAAATTAGAATTGATTTTTTTAGTATTTTTAGTATTGATTAGCACTAATTTTTTAACCCTTTTCATTCATCATATTTGCATTAACCATAACAGTTTATTTACTTTAAACTTTCCAGAATCTGTAGGATTTTTATATTTCAGAGAAGCACCTGCAATATACAGTACATAAAAAAAAATATTTTAATGACCAAACAAACTCAGATTTGAAAAGAGCCCAATCACAACGAGAGTCAATTCCTTGAACCAAAACAACAGTGACTGTTTGATCACTTTTGTGAAAACCCTTTTCTGTTCTTTTTTGGGGTCTTCCTCTGCTTTGATGAAAGAATGTTGAGGGGGTGCTTGATGGAAATGAAAATGCTGACCCGTTACGACTTAGCAATGGTTTGAGAAGCGCCGAGCCTCTATACGGACCTTTGGCGCAAATCTCCAGTTCAGATTGCAGGGTAAAAACCCCAGCAGACGGCCCTTCTCTGTCCCGATGTGCTTTTCTGTAGAAGGCTCCAGTTCTTGGCATTCCCCTTCCATGTCGTCCCAACCCCTCCTTGCTGTTTACGTGGTGACTCATGCTGGCATCGTCAGAAATTGTCAAGAAAAAATTGAAGACTTTTGTTATATGAACATTGAAGAATTAATGACATGTTCTCATCAATCAATTGGCATTCGATGGTTTCCCAGTAGCTGCCGATGTGGGATGATATTATGGTAGTTTCCTCTATACTGTATACTGTGTACTATTCCTTTATATAAAAAGTGAATTAATTGTTCTGTCCAACAGAAAAAAATGCCCTCCTCCTCTTCATTGTGTTTCTAGAGACAAATTAAACTGCTTAGTGCTACTGATTAGATTACTTTTGTCCACTCAGCTTCTTTTAATATTTAATATGTATCCTGCTGATGTTTGCAAGGTCTCTTCAGAAGGAAGAGTTCACCGTGCCTGAGAGGAATGTATTTTTAGTTTGCAGATAAGCCCCAATGAAAAACGGTAAAATGACTGGCAGCATTGCTTATTTGCTCAGCAACGCCTACAGACTGCACAAACAGTTTAACTGGTTAATTGTGATTTGACTCATGTCACCCTTTGAAAGGAGACCTGATATAGAAGGGAAGTCTTTGCATGATGCAGCCAGCAAAGTACCCTGTAAATGAGCCTGTTTTCATGTTATGTTATCCTGTTACTTCAATTGCTGCATTGTTATAACTGAAAGCACATAACTGGCAAAAATAACAAGGTGAAGAGAGAGCAGATTATGTGAGGTTTGCGTTGATTTCTCAATAATTAAACTGGTGAGGTATACAATATTACTACAAACCGTACTGGAAAGTGTTTTTTATTTTTAAGCAAACACTGATGAGTCATTTAGCATCTTCACCTTGATTCAGAACACTTTTTTTTAGCTTGATAATGATTAAAGATACAAGATCTATTCTTCTGATGTTAAGGATGCTGCTTCACTTCATCGGTTTCAAATGGGTTTAAACACTGCAGAAGGAGATTCTGATGTTATCAGTGAAGAGACTTCAAAGATTATTTCATTTATCTACAGGATTATTTGAAAATAGATTCATTATGAGAATCTAAGCACATATGATGTTTTAACGGTAATCTCTATTCAAAAACAGTTACAGAATATATGTTAGAAATTTTTACCACCTGCTGCGTACTTCTAAAACCCATCCACAATATTTTCTCTGATGTTAATATTGCTGAAATGGCTATGGCAGAAGTTCTAGCAAATAAAGAGTTTATAGCTGAATTTCCTTCTCATATATACTGTGGAATTCAACACTTTTTGACTTTAAAAGGTTCTGATCCATCACATTGAATTCTGTCTTTATTTTTTATCATTTTCAATGGCACACATCCATAGTTCCTGTCATTGGTATGGACATTAATTCTTTTTTGTGTGTATTCATATCCTGTTTGATATTGTCTGTCTCCACCTCATTTCTGAATGCAGACAGTGCATTCATGAGATGTGGAAAATCTGTTTGTCTCCCTGGTTTTGTCAATGCTTTACATTATTCAATAAATTAATTCAGCTGACAAGAGAATGTGCCTTAGACTGCATCGCATTTTTAATCAAGGAAAGTGGCTTATTGTAGAATGAAAACAGTTAAAAGAAATCCTAACAAGGTAAACTTGTTACATTATTAGATTATTCTCCTTACTATTTTTTTAAGTTTTCATACTGTGTAAATAAATCCCGGTTTATTGGATTAATGTCCTTGAATTTTAACCTGTTGTAATCTGCATTCCATCATTTCACATCTGAAGTTTCCACGGCAACTCTTAGAAAATTAAGATGCTGTACTTCATAAAAACATAACAGAAAAACAGAAAAGCAAAAAAAAAACGTATTCAATGTTATTGACAAACAATGAGGTGTTATTGATGCCAAGCTGCATTCTGGGCTACTGCTCAACGACCTACAGGAAAAAAGTACTTACAGAGGTGTTATACGTAACCACACTGGGCTTCTAACAGTTCCCCCTTAGTTAAGCAGTTTCTCTCTTCTCCACCTGATCTGTTGTATAGTGGGGCTGATACTTTCGTACAGTTGGTGCATAATGGCCACTGCATGTCACCCCAGTGGGTGGGGGCTGCACTTCAACGAGACATAAAGTGGGTCCCCACCTACAGTAAATGTAAAGCCCTTTTAGGTACTACGGGTTCTGTCACCCTCATTTACTGTATGTAAGATGACTCAAGCCGTTTGCCTTCTCTGCAGGAGGAGGATGTGAGAGAAAGCCGACTCAGTTTCGCGGCTTATGGCGTGGGCCCTTGTACTGCGGGAAAGGATGGAGTCATCCCGAAGACCCCGAACAACTCCCCCCAGCCGGCTGCCAGAACCCCGGAGGAGATGAGGAAGCTGTTCATCGACAGAGCGAAGAAAATCGACACCATATCCCGAGCGGGCTTCCCATTAGCCTTCCTGTTTTTTAACATCTTCTACTGGGTTCTCTACAAAATCCTCCGCCACGAGGACGTACACAAGCAATAAAGTAGGAACAGAGTCCCGAGCCCTCGGCAGCGGAACAGTAAGAACGTGTACAGAAACCCATCGTGATACCATGTAAGAAACGGAACAAGCAAGCAAATGAGCCACAAAAAACCTGTACAGACAGCTCCTGTCCATGTCATACACCATTGAGACACTAAGTGAACTATGCAAAGCCAAACTAGACAGGTATCAATGGTTTCTAATTCTGTAATGTAAGCGGAAGTAGTGTTCTTAATGTACTTCAAGTTTTCCATTTGATACAAAGAACAAAAGATACGTAAAGATTTCCAGGACTGTTATATTCTAATTCAGTCAACGTTGTGTATCTGACAGCTTTACTGCCAATGTTCTCTTTAGTGTTTATATACACCACTTGTGATACCACCTGTAAAGAATATTCTTGATGACATTTATATATTTTAAAGCACTTTTAGAAATCAAAAAAAGAAATGTTATTCAACATTTGTAACAATGATGTAAAAACAAGCTTAAGAGTCCACTTGCAAAAAGCCATATTTCTCCTACATCTCAGATGTTTCAAATACAGTGAAACTGAAATGGGAAAAGTTTCTCTTACTAGTCAAATTAATAATAGGATATAAAGCAACTCAGACATCAAGTACACATGCACTCACTGAGATCTTTGCTTATTTGAATGAAACCTCCACAGAAGAAATATATATTTTTGCTGTTCTAAAAGTTCTATTAATGATAACAGTAAACACATACAGAAAACACCTTGAAATAAGAATCACTCATTTGAAATGTCCCCGGACCTATATAAAAGAAAATATAAATACTGAAAGGCATTATGAATGCAAGTTTGAGACAATACTAATTTGTTTTGTTTTTATTTATGCGTCTCAGTATAGAGTAGGAATATTAGTTTTCAAAATAGCAAGCAGATATACCTGTCTGATGTCTGGGTACCAAAAAAACCAAGACAGATGTGTCTGCTTAATGTTGAAATGTAGCTACAGTACATGTCCAGATCTGCTGCAGATGTTTCAGTTTATGGATAATGTCATATAAGCTCATTGACTGTAAAAACATAAAAAAATTTAAAATGAGATTCAAAATACCTCTTCAGTGATATCTTATCATGTCTTTGACTATGTAATTGTGTTATAAATTATGCTGTTGATCACCTGCTCACCTGCTGCACTTAGTTTGGCAAGCGTAAAAAGAACATAAAATCGGCTTTGTAACTCAGTGAGGTAAAAAGAAAGATACCATACCTTAAAATCAGCTGTTTTCCATCACACTCCATTACTTCAGCTGTGTGAGAGAACTACAGTATCTTTTACTCTCAGAATCTGAAGGCTTAGCTATTTGACATTTGCACTTCATATTAAATACTTCAAATTGTTAAATACTGTATTCTTATTTTTAATTTGTAATTATTCTTATAATTCCTAGTAGTAGTAGCATGTTTTCAACACAGTGAGATCAGCACATCCCTCTTACGCAAAAAATGATTTCTTTTTGTTTTATCTTGTTTTTATTTTTCTTTCATCAGTCTTATCTGCGGACTTTTGTTACTGCATTTGGTGACCATCATTCTTTCAGGAAATCTTCACTGATAAGTTGAAAAGATTGTCTTCTATATCATTCTTTCCACCTTAGGCAACTCCTGTTGTAAAGGAAGACTACAGCATATCAAAATATTATCAGCCACACGCCATCTGTTTTAAAAAAGTAAAAGATTATGAAACACTGTCAGGCAAAGACATATTTTATTATTCATTTTTTATAGCCAATTTGTATATTAAGTGAAGAGTGGTGAACAATAAATAGCTTAGAAAAAAGATATGGAAGCATACAGATTAGATCTGGACCATAGGGTTCAACAATAAGTAATAGGCATTTAATTCCATTTAATTTATTCATAAAGTAGCTGCAATATTGAACAGCGTTGTTTTTACAAAAAATCATTTTCTTAGAGTGCCTATTACCACTTCTTGTTGTTTTTTTCTCTGAGGTTAAAAAATACATAATACAGTGTGAGCAAAATCAGAAATCTCAAGAGAAAACTCAAAAACAAATTGTATTTCTTAGTACATTCAAGTTGCAGAGAATTCCTTTACAACAGGAAATGTAATCCTTTTATGTCATGAAATAACAGAAGAGTAAGTCTTACATCAGTTGTCCTTACATACTGTAATTAAGTCATGGTCTTACTATTTAATTTTAAAGTTTATTTTCTTTATTAAAATGCTTAGCAGTACTTTCAAACAAAAATAGCATAGTGCCTACCACATTCCTAGAGGAAACCCAAGAAAAAGTATAGTTGTTACGGCACCTTGTGAGAGCCGAGAACTACCATGTTCTTGAAATAATGGACACGAAATAGTCTATACTGAACATCCTTGTAAAACTACTTGCACTATGTTCCATGGCATCAGGATTGAGGTAACAACATGCGTGTTAAATTACTTAATTGTTTTGAGTGCATGTAAAGAACTTTTAATACTAAAGTCTTTTAGATTGCATTATGGATTGGACAGTACTCCTGATTGAGTAATATACAGTAATTTAACAATCAAATAATAGTCAATTGGTTTTATATACTGTACCTGGATGGAAATTACACAGGTAAATAATAAGATATCACTTTAATGTGGACCCCAATGCTTTTTTCCCTCCATTAACATAACAGGAAGCAATATAAGATTGCATTTTGTTATAATTAGTTAGTACTTCAAAAACTCGTTATCCTAAATATTACATTTTTATAAGTATTTGACCTTCAGCATAATCAGACGTGACACGAATAAGCAGAAAAAAAAAACATGCTGGATGTGTATTGTTTTACGAGAAGCTACTTTAGTTGTGTCATAATAGGTTGTGACAGTTTAATCCAGATCCAGCCATTGTGCTCTGATAGCCAACAGATATTTAAGGGATAATCTGAGGGTTGTAGATTATTTGAGGGATTGGATAATGTAAGGGAATGTAAGAAAACAAGCAATAGTTTATCATAATAAGCAAGAATAAAGCCGTGTAGATACCCTTTTTCAAAATGCCATTTTGGTTGTTTTAAAAAAAACTTGTCTATTAATTAAAAGTACATATTTTAAAAATCAACCAGCAAACATTGTTTCTTCAATGTAAACTTTACTAAATAATAAGCATATCGGACAAAATCAAATTCTATAAATCCAATGTAAATTAAATGATCAGATCAGCATTGCATACATAGGTAAATGTATTCTCAGAACATAGAACATAGTATTTCTCCGCATAGAAATGTTTTTTTTGTTTTTGGTGTGTTGGTCAGATGTCGAAACCTGTCTTGTGAGTTTGTTACTACCCAAGGCAAACAACTTAGAAGAGATTACAATTGGTGGGCTTCCTATCAGATCAGCTATGACTCATTTCAGAAATTTGCTATACTGGTAACATTTCAACTGGAACTGTATGCCTGTGAGATCCTCAGTTGTTGTGTAGGCTGTGTGTATTGCATTCTTATCATTGCCCTGAAATGAAGACTTTATTATTGGATCAGCATATAATCCTTTGATAACAATCAGAAATACTGTCACCTCCATATTTTGGTACATTTACATGTATACACACACTTTGAACATATCACATTGCTTGTTTCTAAACAATTTAATTTCAGTTTTCGAAGGCCATGAGGATGTTCTGAAAGAATTTTCCAAGACGTATATTTTGGCATTTTGAATGCAATTAGTTTGTATTCTCATGAGAAAAAAAAACTTGGCTCACAGTAGGTTACTGCCCTGTTTTGCACAGAAAATATTGCACTGATCTCATACTGAGATGCTATTCCAGAGTGTGCCAAATCATTTTGTGTGTCCTTGGGCCTCAGGCTTGAATTTGTGGGCATCAAAACAATATGTTCTTGCTTTAAAATGTAGTGATTTAGTTACAACTGATCTTCTTCAGCTGGATGGAGTCCTTGCGGTACCTGTCAAACCTTGTTTTGTTTCTAGTCATCACTATTTTGAAATTAATAGCTCATTGTTCCCATAAATCCCTGTTTTAGGGAGAACTATTTGTGATAAATTGACAATTAAAGGGGTCATTAATGACTTGAAATTATTGAAAACCCACCTATGGTTTTATACTGTAGGTAAATATTATAATCGTGCAAATTTGTTCATTTATTCTATTTTATTATATTCTATTACTTTTTGCACAGACATTTTAGCCTGAATGTGGTACAGTATATATTTTTGTTACGAGACATCTTTGCATTTGAATATAAGAAAATAATCTTACAACCTTTATCACAGAAATATTCCAATTTATGCCATAATTGTACTATTACTAGACTATTTACAAACAAATATGGCAAAAAAATATTTATTTTATTTCTGTCTATACTGAAAGACTGCAACCTGTTAGACTTAAATATAATTATGTGATGAGCTGTTGTAGATGCATCACTTTTCAACAGGCGACAGGTTAATTCACTTCTCCTTCACAGTCATTTCTATGTGCAACAATGCTGATAATACTGTAACTTTAATAGTGCCAAATTTAAATATTGTAAATAAATTTAATCTGATGTGGAAATGAGAAACACGAGGAACAGGTAGGAAATTATATTTTTATCATGCGATTGTTCGGTACTATTTGATACAATGCCTGACTTACCAGGAAAATCTACAGTGTAAAAATAACTTCACAGCAACCAAAACGTTTTTTTCTTTCAATGCAAACTGAGGTATTCTCTTCTATATATCATATTCTATGTGATAACAGGAAACCACTGTTTAAATAAAGCTGCCGATGTACAGTACAGTACAGTTTTTAAAATGCAACACATTTACATTCCAATGAAATACCTAGTGTGCTGCCAATGGTACAAACCAAACAAATTATTTGATTAACATATCAGTGCTCTAACAACATTCCTTAAAACAACAGATTTTGATAGATTTTAATAATGTCAACTTTCAAAACATTTCACTACAATTACCTAAACATCTCCATGAATTACCTGCAGACATAAAATATTTTGATGTAGATTCTTCAAACAAATTTATGTATTTATTTGTATAAAGATTATTAAATATTATGCATGAATACAAGTAAATATCGATGTACTTTACTTAATGAAATTGGACGTGCCAGGTCATTTGTGACTTTACAATGCACAACATCAACAGATGAAGCCGTTCTGTGTGTTTACAGTGGTTCTGTCAAATCTTCATGTACATCTACTGTAAATAATTTTAATAAAGGATCTTTTATGCAGATCAATCTCATTACTTTTATCTTTAAAATTTGTTCTAGAAAAGGTGAGTATTGTTCATTATTGCTTATCCTCTTAAATACCATTCCTGATTATAAACAAAAAAATAACTGTGGATCAGTGGATAATTGATTTTGATTTGCAATATAAAGTAAGCTACAGTAGGTGTTAAAGCAGCAGTTAATAGGTTACATGTTTGAGTTAGAAAATTAACTGAACAACTAAAAATAATGAACAATAAACTGTCCAGAGATGCCTCAAAGATCAGATTTCATACAGTACATGTTTTTTAACGCAGGTTTTAAGTAACATTAATATTCACAAAGCACAGTATATATCATTTGTTAAGAAATATGAGCAATAATTATTTTATTATAATTATTATTCAAATTATTTCACCATAAAATGTTCTGGTCATACTAAAATAAAACAAATCTTCAAACACTTTGTTGTAGTGTACTTGGAAAAAAGACACAGAAAACCTTAATTAAGAAAACCTTTGAACATGCAACCACAACTTATCAAACCTTCCTCTAATATACAAAACCATCTGCTTAAAGGCTTCTTGGCAGAAGGCTTATCTTCCAACATGCCAAAAAGATGACAGCCAAGTTACCTCTGGAATTCATGAAGAATTTAAAGCTACTGTATTCTCTATGAGTGACCTCACATGACTTCAATCCAATCGGAAATGTTTTGGAGAAACCTGAGAAGAAGCTGTTTATCTGACTATTTTGGGCTCAGATTGTCTATGATTAAGGAAATATTCAGGAAAGAATGGTCCCGGATTTCTCCAACAAGAAGTAACACACTCATTCAACATGTGAAAGAAGCCACAAAAGCAAAAAAGGACACAAATAGAGAAAAAACAAATACTTTTGTCATGAATCACAAGCCTTAAAGTATGTTTTGCAATAGATATTGTAACTTTTCCAGAAAGGCTGTATTTTGCATTTTTGTTTTTAATTAAAAGTGTCCCTTATTTTCACATTCCATGTAAAGCTAAGGAGGCTAAAATAAATACGTTTTGTTTTCAGAACAACCAAGAATAAAAAAGGATTATAGAAAGTGTCTCAGAAATGAAAATGGAAAACTTTTGTCTATGAGAGGGAAATTGCTAATACAGTATATAAGATTAATGTTTCAGAAAGGTGTTTACCAAGAAAGAAACTGACAGTGTAACACCCATTACTGGAAATGTGCTGATGTGGTACCTGTCCATCAAAAGCGTACAAAACTGAACCAAGTATTTACTTCTATCACATTTTTGGTTATGGAAATGATCATTAGAACTAACCTATAGGAGTAATCTGTATGACAGCAGGTTTTCAGGGGTTCACCACTATGAATTTAGAAAAAAAAAGCACTGTAGGTTTTGCATTACTAAGCAATTAAGAGTTCTTTGAACAAACCACAACAGTAATGGATACAGAGCATATAATAAAGTATAATTATATTTTCAGAAGGCTTTTCATAAAGTTCTCTCAAAGTTGTTATTCTAATTTATTTTATACTTCTTCCATGCTTCAGATGTAATTGAGTGAAACTAATTGGTCTCTAATTGCCTGCCTGTGTTTTGTCCCTGTGGTTTTTCATGAATAGATATTGCAATTGCAATTTTCAACCAATAGGTACATCCTACTAAGAAGGAATGAAAAACACACTGTTCAGTTTCCTCTGGTGCTGTGATATGACAAAGAACTAATTAATATTCATACAATAATTCAGTGTAACTTCTCCTCATAACAGTTACCCTATCCTTGGGTGTTCATTCTTATATTTAGTAGGTACATCATTTGCTGTTAGAGGCATATAAAATGTCCTAGTGAGCACTCTAATAATGAGAACAAGTAGGAAAATAATATTTGGTCCAACACATCTTCTTCTGATACAGAGCCTTGAAAAAGGATTTTTTTGGCTTGTGGTCCTAACAATTTAAAGTAGCAAATAATATTTCTTATCTACCTAACTTTCCTTACACATTCAAATAAAAAATCAAAGAAACTATATGAAATAAAAATGGAAAAATCAAGACTGTGAACATTTTCAGACCATTTGCTGTGACAAAGCTAAATTAAGTTAGGTGTACAAATTAATTTAAAAAGCCAAGCAATTAGTTTAGTGGTGTGCAATAATAATGGTTCATATTATTTCAGAAAAAAATACACCTACTATATCTCTGATATGTCTCTTAGAGAATTTTAAGCAAAGATTTAACCATAAAAGCTAAGGGACATTACAAATAACTCATGGTTATAGTTGTATAAAGACAAAGATCAGAAAAAGAATACAAAATAATTTCACTTAATAACACTTTGAGCATGGTGATATCACTTTGAGCATGGTGATATCACTTTGAGCATGGTGATATCACTTTGAGCATGGTGAAGCTGATCATTAAGAAGTGAAAGGCACCACTTCTTAAATGGGATAAAATTGCACCGGGCCATTTTGCAAAATTGGTAAAGATTTACCCTAAAGGACTTGTAGCTATGATTTCAGCCAAATGTTCTTCCACCAAATAC